GTACATCGTGTACGTTCTTGTTGTAGAACTTGTGTTGCTCCAAATCGAGTATGAAGTAAAATCAGGAGCATACTGTCACAGGCTAATTTTGTATTTTAATACCTCTGGAAATATCAAGGCTTTGGTACCCCTATCTATCACAAAAAGTAACAAATCCAAAACGAACTACGAGGACTAATATTTTTCCTATTATTTGACAGATTAAAAGTATTATTCAAGAAATATGTCCATTTTGATCTTAACGTGATACAAAAATACTAAATAACATGCAAAATTCAGTGCCAAAGAGGGATTTATTTTGCGGTAGTTAAATATGTAAACATATGTTCTCAAACTGGCAGAGTTTAATACCAATTAAAGCTCGCAATGTTATATATTTGGTTTGATACGAAGATAAAATAGTAAATACTCATAATAATTACAATATGTCCATGACCTTACTCAAAAATTCAGATTATTAAATCACATAATGGAACAACTTGCAATTTTCTACGCTCACTCGTTAGCAATAGTTCTCTTCAACACTCGAAATAAATTACATATTTCCGCACAACCATGGTCCATGTATAGATATCCTCTATACATTCCAGTTTACCTTTAATTTGTCAAGTGGTAGGCAAAATATTAGTCCTTTTGATTTGTTATTCTCTTGACCCAACACGGGAGTGATAGGAACTTGAAAAAATACTTGCGTGTAATTTGCTCGGAGCAATTTGCAATCAACATTGCAAGATTGATTGCAATGTTGCAATACTCATGGGAACAGAACATCCGGTTTGACTGTAAAAGTTATATCAGTCCAAGACTGCTATAGAAGAAGATTTTATCAAAATAAAGTCAGGATAAAGTCTATTAATACCATGATTACTAATGATTACTACTCTTGAAAGCTTTTCGAAAGACGCCATCTTGTTTTAAAGCTGTTTTAGCCTGCGAACAGGTCTTCAAAACAAGGTTGACGGACTTAACGAGTTAACAACTTAACTTACTTAACTTTACTTTACTTTACTTCACTTTACTGACGCGATAGCAATATATCTGCGCTACGCGCAGATACAAAAAGGGCGTGTGAATTAAACAAGTCACATATTATTAGCACTGATGAAGATCCGGGCTTACGGATCGAAAGCTTTGCAGTAATAAATTTACGTGGTGTTTCCACAAACAAAACTATTATATATGTCAACGGTTGTTTACGTGAATTCTGGAGATTAGTTTGGAGCATGCACGCACTAGCTGCAATTGTTTTTGTGATATCATTTTGGTCAATTTTACTCGAATCTGATTAATTGGTATAAAAGCAAATCAGAATTTTCTTTTAGTTTCATCCTAAAAATTAATTTAATTTAATCCTAAAAATTCCTTTTTGACATGTTATCAAGAGGTGTATACAAACTAAAACTGAATACAAGAGGTACACGCATTCATTACGTCTCAAGCTAGACCTTGTTTGGAGACGAAATTTACAAAATCATGTCTGCAAATATTTAGTCTGCATGGACAAGTTTGGCTTTTGGTTAAAAATAAAATAACTGATGACACAATGCATGGTTATTGAAATTTTTACTTGGGGGCTTAAATTTCTTATATTATTTTCATTAAATTTAACGCCAACATGTTCTGTTTCTTACTGTATATATGATTGCGAATTGTATGACACACGATGTGCAATAATCAAGAAAGACCAAAGAGAAAATAAATATGCTTTTGAGGCTGTCACCACGCAAAGGTTTATGTAGCTTGTGTCAGTTTAATATGTATATTTAGGATCATGGAATCTCATAATCGATCGAGCGGATGCCTACTAAAAATATATCAACATATATCAACATGCAGTTGTTTACGTGCATTCTGGAGATTAGTTTGGAGCATGCACGCACTAGCTGCAAGCAATTGTTTTTGTGATATCATTTTGGTCAATTTTACTCGACGCTGATTAATTGTATGGTAAAAGCAAATCAGAATCTTCTTTCAGTTTAATTTAATTTAATCCTAAAAATTCCTTTTTGACATGTTAATTATCAAGAGGTGTATACAAACTAAAACTGAATACAATAGGTACACGCATTCATAACGTCTCAAGGAGCACAAAGGATTAAGAAACTAGACCTTGTTTGGAGACGAAGTTTACAAAATCATGTCCGCAAATATTTAGTCTGCATGCATGGCTAAGTTTGGCTTTTGGTTAAAAATAAATTAACTGATGACACAATGCATGGTTATTGAAATTTTTTATACTTAAATTTCTTATATTATTTTTATTAAATTTAACGCCAACATGTTCTGTTTCTTAGTGCCTATATGATTGCGAATTTTTGAATGAAGAGAGTTGCTACAAGATCCTGTTAACAAATTGTTGGAACAGCATCGCTAAAAGTCTGCTGCAGTTTGTTTAAATACAACTCGTGCGTTTTTACGTGATCGATTGATCAAGTTGTCTGGAAATTCACGTGTACGCCACGTTACAGTATTTAACAAATATAAAACATTTTCCGTGTTGATATACAGTTATATCAACACGAGTGGAATTGGGAAAACGAGAAATTGTATGGAAACACGACGCCCGAAGGGCGGAGTGTTTTCATACAATTTCGAGTTTTCCCAACTTCCACGAGTGTTGATATAACTATATATCAATACGGAAAAAATGTTTTATATATTTTTTATAATATAGCAATGTCAAAAGCCCGAAGGATAAGAAAAATTTCCGTGTTTACAAGCGGCGGAAAATTTCCCGTGTTGACATTGAGTTATATCAAGACGGCTCTTAGCCAATCAGCGTTCAGAATTTACAAATGCTATATTATAATAATTAATATGACATTCAGGTTAGTATGTTGAAAAACGGTTATCTTTCGAAAGCGCATTTGCCTCGAATGATTTTTTTCGAATTGCCGAAGTAAATCTACGATAATCGGTCATATAACGTTGTCACGGATGTTCTTATTGAAATATCAACTTTCAGAACTTGGCCATGTAAGTTGTGTGGATAATATCGCAATATATAATTCCACTGTTCACGAAATTCATGAAACATCAAATTACAAAGAAGGCGTGCTATTTCATATTCCACTCCATGGTCTGTCAAGATATGATGGTCTGGAAGCCCGGCAATCTTCAAAGCCACAGAATAGAAGGCCTTTGTTTGATGTTGAACTGTTTCTCACCGTACACAAACATTTTGACTTTGTCTCAATTTCACTGAATATTTTCATACAATGAGCTCAATCACCATGACCGTGCAGAAATTAACATAAACTCAGACAACAACACAACACAATGCCTTCAGCTCGGTTTCTAGACAATCATATCTTGATAAACTATGTCCACTCTTTTGACCATTTTCCAATTTAGTAATTACAAAATTAATAAATTCGATGTGCATCTCGTAAAAATTTTCATATTTGTAAATATGATTCAGAAGTAATCTCAGTCATGGCCGGATTTTGAGGGGAGGTGTGGGGAGGTGCGCGCCGACTCCCCTGAGGTCGTTTTGCACCTCTCCTGAGAATTTTTGCACCTCCCCTGAAACGTCATGCACTTCCCCTTGGGAAAGTTTCAATGATAGTTCAAAGTGAAAAATTGGTATTTTTCGGTTGCTTAGAGTCTACACTTCGTAAGAAAGTTCTTATGTAAAATTGAAACAGTGATAGTCATTCATCTCTGTGTCAAGTACCCGTTTAATGCAATGATTTGGTAATTGTAATGAAAGGCAAAATTGGATGAGGTGTACGTTCATAATTCATTATAAATACACTGATACATATGTACATTACATGCATACGTCACATCGTTGACTTTGGCCCGTTCTAAGCCCTAACTTTCCACGGGGTGGTAAGCTAAACCACTGCACCTCCCTTAAATTTTTTTCCACCTACCCCACTATTTCCACCAAATCCGGCCTTGAATTCTCAGTAAATCAATCAATGGCGGAAGAGCATTTGATATAAAAATACTCAATTCTGATTGGACAAGAGCATGCATGTACTCCAATTGTTTTTGAGCAAAAAGAGAGTAAATCCTGTAGAAATCACCTTCTAAAAAGTATAATCTTATTTTTAGGCTGACCTGTGCAAGGAAACCGATCAATAATACCCAATTGGATCATGTACACTGTACTGTACTTTACTGTACTGTAAATTCAAGACGCTGATGTTTAATTAATAAAGATCGCTGGGCTCTTTTGTTACATATGTTTTTGACAGGTTGCCAAGAGGCGTGCACACTAAAACTGAACACAATAGGTACATGCATTCATTACGTCTCAAGGAGCTGAAGGAAGAAGACAGAACTTGCTTGGAGACGAAATTTACAAAATTATGTCCGCGAAAATTCTGTTGAAAATCCTGATGATTTCAGTCTGGCTGAGTTTGGCTTTTCGTTTATCGCAAAGTGACAAGGTAGTTGATAAGAAATGATGATAGATGATACATTTGTTATTAACGTTTCTTATGTTATTCAAAATTTAACGCCAACAGAATCACATACTGTATATTATATTGTATATAGTAAATATGTATTATTTCTTAGATAGTTTATTTACAATAACAACTATTGGCTGAATTATAAAAGTTTTTGGCACATGTATACAAATATACGTACATCAGTTCTAATTACTGATACGCTTTTATAGAGTTACTAAAAATAAAACTGTATAGGTATGGTAAATAATAAATTTACGCCCTGGTCCTTAAATTTACCGAGGAGCTGTTTACAGCTGGTAGTAATTATGAAATTTACGAGTCTCGCTGTTCAAAATTTGTTGGAAAAGTTTATCAGTAAGTTGCAGACGCGCTAATTATGCCTCTTGGTACTTGCTGGCGGATCAGTATTAGCTATACGCATACCAAGTTTTTGAATTTCCTCAAAATCGTTTAAGAGACCAGGTAGATTGTCATGAAATACTGGATACGCATACTCCATGCATGCATCAAGGATCGAATACATGATTTAAAAAATTGGACTAATCCTTTACTACCTACTTTAGAGTATCTTAACTTAACGAGTTAAAAGGAGTCGCTTGGATGCTTTATTTACAATTTCAGAAACATGTTTGTTCCCCATATGTTATTATCACATTTTGCAATTGCTTATACTGTCATAGTTATATATGGACACGATATTATATGGTTCTATTAGGGCCGACCGCCCCCCAATCGCCACAAAAACCATTCTATCAAAAGGCCTAAATCCATAGAGAAATTGGGAAGGGGGTAACACGTTCCATTCTCGAAGTTAAAAGTCTCGATCTAAGACAACGACGATTTACTGGAGGAGCTTGATGTGTGAAATCTCGTTAAAGCATTTGTATATATATGATTCCAAGAAGAATAGATTTAGTTTAGATTTTCGACTGTTAAATTGGCATGTATATCATTGCCATAGCATTGAATATTTGTTCTCAAATTTATCATGTATACCATGTATCTTATGAAAAGTAATGCTATTTTGAGAATGCGACAAATGCGTCTCATAGAATTATCTAAATGCAAAATCTCCGATCAAAATTACATTGCGATTTTCTTCGCCCCCCTCCCCCCCCCCCCCCCCTTGCCCCGCATCACGCACAGAAGGAAAATAAGCTGACACAGACTCCGAAGAGAAATATCTGGTAAAAAATCATGTCTTCGATGCACTTGATAATCCTCGGAATTCTGCAAAATTTCACACCCAAAATGCTTCAAATCGCATTTTCGGGACTCTAGATTTCAAATTTTCGAATCTCACGCCATTGCCGTTCGCTTCAACTGCCCCCCACCCCCCCCCGCCCCCCACCCCACCCAGTAAAAAAAATATATAGAGCTGTTGTTACGCCACTGACAAACTAGTCAGTAGGAAATAGGAGCAAGAAGCCGATTCTGAATGACATCATTTATATATTTTATAATTTGAAAATTAAAAGCCATAATTCACATTATGATTCAGAATTTAGAGAGATGATGTCAATATACAGACAGCTTGTCTGCTGTAAGTAATTATATACTTTAATCTATTGCCAAAAGCTAAAAGCATTGTTAAATTAATTGATAATTTTCCGTAATTTGGAGATAAAAAGATATTCGCTATCATGCACGTATGTTTTTTTTGTTGTTTTTTTTTGTTCAATTTATAGATATTTCGTTATCTTGATTCTTGATACCATTGTAATAAACCACAAAAAGATCCTTGACCTTGTAGGGCCTAGTTAACATCTACGCTTCTCACGAATCACGAAAATAAATTAATGTTTACGAATTTTAACTGTTACAACTACGTGAAATAGGGTATGTTTGTGCCATAACGGCAAGTGCCTTTTATTTGTACATTCCTGTACCTCTGATGTAAGCACTGCAAAAAATCGAATTCTAGTCTAGAATAATATTCTTATTTTTTAGATTATTTTTCTTATTTTAAGTAAATATTTCTTATCAAGAAATATTTCAAGAAAAAAAATCTAGTTTTAAGAACAAAAATCTTAAAGTAAGAAAATATAACTAGGCAAGAATATTCGAGAGAATTTTTTTCTTATTTTAAGAATAACATTTTCCCATCCTAGAATAATATTCTTATAATTAGAAAAACAATCTTGAAATGAAGTTTAATATTATTTATGGCATATATCAAAACCTTTCTTTCGGCAACTTTTGCATGGCCGAAACGAGCTAGATATGATATTGAATTGAATTAAACCTAGTTCTATTGTATATCTTTCACTTTTTTTGTCAAATTTGAAGTTGAAGGGCTCTGTCCTGAATTGTCGCAGCTTCAACATGGCGGATATCACAATGAATTTGTATTATTGTATATGGCGCATTTATGGCCAATGAATTGTTATTGAAAAATAACAATTATACATGAGTTCAAATCATTTGCAACAATCGTCTATATATACACTTTGATGAAGATGGTATGATCCACCGCAAAAAATGATGTGTAAATTTACCCACATCATTGTTGGAAAAGTTTATCAGTAAGTTGCAGACGCGCTAATTATGCCTCTTGGTACGATGCTGGCGGATAAGTATTAGCTATACGCATACCAAGTTTTTGAATTCCCTCAAAATCGTAGAACCAGGTAGATTGTCAGGAAATACTGGATAAGCACACTCCATGCATGCATCAAGGATCGAATACATGATTTAAAAATTGGACTAATTCTTTACTACCTACTTTAGAGTGTCTTAACTGAGTTAAAAAAGAGTCGTTTGGATGCTTTATTTACAATTTCAGAAACATGTTTGTTCCCCATATGTTATGATCACATTTTGCAAGTGCTTATACTGTCATAGTTATATATGGACACGATATTATATGGTTCTATTCAGTGGCGTAGCCAAGGAGGGGCGACCGCCCCCCAATCGCCACAAAAACCATTCTCTCAAAAGGCTAAATCCATAGAGAAATTGCCCCCCCCCATTTCTCTGTGGATTTAGGCCTTTTGAGAGAATGGTTTTTGTGGCGATTGGGGGGCGGTCGCCCCTCCTTGGCTACGCCACTGAATTACACGTTACATTCTCGAAGTTAAAAGTCTCGATCTAAGACAACGACGATTTACTGCATGGAGGAGCTTGATGTGTGAAATCTCGTTAAAGCATTTGTATATATGATTCCAAGAATAGATTTAGTTTAGATTTTCGACTGTTAAATTGCCATGTATATCATTGCCATAGCATTGAATATTTTTTCTCAAATTTATTATGTATATCATGTATCTTACGAAAAGTAATGCAATTTTGAGAAAGCGAAAAATGCGTCTCATATAGAATTATCTAAATGCAAAATTTCCGATCAAAATTACATTGCGATTTTCTTCGCTCCCCTCCCCCAACACGCACAGAAGAAAAATAAGCTGACACGGACTCCTCTTCCAGTTTTCCAACGTGACTTTTCTATGCAATTCATTTAGATCCGCGAAGAGAAATATCTGGTAAAAAAATCATGTCTTTGATGCACTTGATAATCCTCGGAATTCTGCAAATTTCACCCACAAAATGCTTCAAATCGCATTTCCGGGACTCTAGATTTCAAATTTTGGAATGTTACGCCACTGACAAACTAGTCATGCAGTAGGAAATAGGAGTAAGAAGCCAATTTTGAATGACATTAATATATTTTCCATTTGAAAAGCCATAATTCACATTATTATTTCGCAACCCTGCCCGCCGCCTAATTTAGATAACATGCATGTCGATGATTTAGAATTTAGAATAAAGAGGTTCTTTTTAAAATCATTTGAATTCGGTCTCCCAAGGAGAGATGTTACAAATATACAGACAGCTTGTCTGCTATAAGTAATTATACTTTAATCTATTGCCAAAAGCTTAAAGCATTTTTAAATTAATTGATCATTTTCCGTAATTTGGAGATAAAAAGATATTCGCTATCACGCACGTATGTTTTTTTTTTTGTTTAATTTAGATATTTCGTTGTCTTGATACCATTGTAATAAACCACAAAAAGATCCTTGACCTTGTAGGACCTAGTTAACATCTATGCTTCTCACGAATCACGAAAATAAATTAATGTTCACGAATTTTAACTGTTACAACTACGTGAAATAGGGTGTGTTTGTGCCATAACGGCAAGTGCCTTTTATTTGTACATTCCTGTACCTCTGATGTAAGTGAGAGTTCTTTCAGAATCCCTGACTCAACCAAACACAATGGACCTCCAAATTCAATTTAGAACTGATAGAGCTATGCAGTATCAAAACTATAAAGTTAGTTTAGTTTTCATTCTCTACTAGTACTGTTGTAATACTGAACCACTGTCGGTGAGAAAAGCAGTTTATCACTGAAAGAGCTACTGTAGCTATCCATTATCAACATCGATATAAAAGTTGAAACTTTAAGTTAGTTTAGGTTTCCTCACGTTCACTTGGAGGGGAAATAAGGTGACACGGACCCCTCCTCCAGTTTTCCAAGATGACCTTTCCAATTATTTATTTCCGAAAACAAATGTCTGGGAAAAGGTACGTTTTTGAAATCATAAAAACTCATGTCTTTGATGTACTTTATAATCATTGGAATTCTCCAAAATATCACCCCAAACTGCTTGAAATTGCATTTCAGGAACCCAGATTTCAAACTTCTTCCGAGGGAACAGGCCCGGAACATGAGCCATGCTTTTGGTTTTCGCTTCGCCCCTCCAAAAATGTGCCCTTGGCTGCGTGAAATGTGCCCTTGGATATATATATATATATATATATATATATATATATATATATATATATATATATATATATATATATATATATTTGCCGACTTCGGTAGTGGTTGCGAACAGAGCGCATGCGCATGAACTGTTGTTAGTATCATGCAGTGTTGGTATCGCAAGTCGAACTTAAACTCTCTACTATTTAAAACAGAAGCAGCAGTGTTTTATCACTTACAGATATAAAGATACGAGGCGAAGCTAGTTTCTTTAGGTCTGATAAAACACGTACTGCGGATGTTTTAAATTGCTTCAGAAACGATCGATCTAGTAAGTTCATTGGCGAAGGAGGCTAATTTTCAAAAAATACGTTATGTAAATCGAGAAAATCAAAGTTAAACTTTATGTAAATCAAGGGAAATCTCTATCACATATAAAGATACGACACGCTTATAATTTTTCTTTGTGTGTTGTTTCCTCATTAATTATTAAATGAGTGTTTGAAGCATTTAAAACACTTGTATAGTCGTGTTTTGTCATATTTCTGGTGCACCGTATACTCTAATTTTAAATACGATAAAACACTCCTACATATACGCGTGTTTTAAATAGTATATACGTCGAAAACAATTGTTCCCATAGACATAGTTTGGTGTTTTTAAATTATTTGTTTCCCTATAATTAGTAAACTGTTGATCAGTATTACACGTCTAATATAATTGCTATTTAAAAGTTACTTTCTGAATTTCCTTATCAGTATAAATATATATACTAAAAACAACAGATTATCATGCTTTTCCATTTGCAATGGTATATTAGATCAAGCATACACCTGCGAATACCCGCCTGCCCTTACTTAGGACATGCATTCTATGAGGATTTTTTAAGAATCGGTCTCATTTGTCAGCCTGCAGTGGTTCTTGTATTTTGGGTGCTTAATTTCCTAAATTTCAGGCTACTGGTTCTTAATGCACTGGTTCGTTTAGGCGGGTTTTTCACTACCGTTCTTAACCCACATGCACTGGTTCGTTTAGGCGGGTTTTTCAGTACCGTAATGAGGGCATGACCATGGTTAAGAGAGCTTATATAAATGTGGCTTTATGAACTACAGCAAAAGTTTATAGCCTAGTGCACTTTGACTTTTATTAGCTTAATTATATAGTATATATATAGTTATATGATTTAATCCATGCATGCTCCACTCTGACTTGATTGCCAACTAAAAATCTGTAACTCATATCAAATGCCGACATAGTATATACCACAAAACATAGTCCGGGTATTTTTTGGACATCCTGTACATGTAGAGTTTTCTAAGTGTAATATTCAGAGTCTTATCAGCGATGCGACCTTTCATTAATTGTTCTGAAAGTTTGCATTCACTCCAGGAGCAAACATACTTTTTTAAAAGGTGGGCTACCCTCGTCACATCGCTTTGCCAATTAAGAATGACGAAACATTTTAATGAAAAGAGTCAGACGATATAGCAGGTTCATACAAGAAAGCATATGCACTCACAAGGAAAACAATGAAT